GGATATCATGTTTAGCGTATGCCTTTGCGCGAGGTATCAATCATGTCTGAAGGAATCACACTTAACCGCGGTGAAACGGATCATGAAATACCTTGTCGGCACGGTTAACGTTGGACTGTGGTATCCAAAAGGCTCTTCTTGTCATCTCGTTGGTTATTCCGACTCGGACTTTGCCGGTTGCAAATTAGACCGTAAAAGTACGAGTGGGACTTGCCACTTACTTGGTAGCTCTCTAGTCTCTTGGTTTAGTAAGAAACAAGTCAGTGTTGCGTTATCCACAACCGAAGCGGAATATGTAGCCGCCGGTAGTTGTTGTGCTCAAATCCTTTGGATGAAGCAACAACTCGTGGACTATGGCCTTAGTATCAATCACGTCCCTCTTCGTTGTGATAATACTAGCGCCATAAGCTTGACGAAGAACCCCGTTCTTCACTCAAGGACGAAACACATTGACATTAGGCATCATTTCATTAGAGATCATGTTCTCAAAGGTGATGTCGAGATTGAGTTTGTTGAAACACACAACCAATTAGCCGACATTTTCACAAAACCTTTAGAGAAAGAGTCGTTCTTCCGCATTCGAAGTGAACTCGGAATCCTTGACTCCACGATGATCTAAGTTGTGCATCTAAATCTATTAAACACTTACTAACTTGAGCGTCGAAGAACTTTTTCTTTTTTGCAGGTACCCCGTTCATAAAATCAGGGGGAACCATGCAAACAGCGCTGTCCAGGAGACACAACAGCGCTGCTTAGGGAAACACCGTCAACCAGAAAGTTCTCCAACAGCGCTGTCTATCCACCCAACAGCGCTGTCTCAAGGAGTCCCTTACACCTTCACTTTCTAGAAACTTTTTGAACATCAATGTTCCATTTTAAACATCGCTGTCTCCCCAAAACATTCTCTTTTCACCCAAAACCAGAAACTTTTTAAACAGCGATGTCTTAGCTTCAACATCGATGTCCTCTTTTACAATTTTTTTTCTCTATCGTAAAACAGCGATGTAAAGACACCCAACAGCGCTGTTCTAATGGGTTCAAACCCTTACACAATTCCAGAAACTTTTGGAACATCGCTGTAGGGTACCCAACATCGCTGTCCAATTGACACTTTTTTTAAAACTTGACGCACAACAGCGCTGTTCCAATTTCCACCAGCGCTGTCCCAAACAGCGATGTCGCTTGTAGAACATCGCTGTTCTGGTCAAAATTTTCAAAAAAAAATATCCGTTGGCAGCTACATTAATCTCTCCAACAGCCATAATTTTGAAATTCAGGCCGTTGGTGACCACCTTTTTTTGGGACCCCCTCTCTTCACTTTTACACACACAAACACAAATTCCTTCAATATCTTCACATATTTCATCCTCTCTACTCTAATTTTTTGAGATTTCTTCACTATGGGCAAAGACAAAAACAGGGCAGGCACTTCCGGAAAATCCAAGTCCAAATCCCGGGCTGCATCCACGACCTCCGAAGAACGCCTCTACTACGGCGATGGGTCGTACCTCTGGTTTGATTCCGAGGAGGAGCGCACCCGATTTCTCACCTTTTTCTCCAAACGGGTTGTGGCTCCCCCACGAATCATCCCGGAGCGCTACCCGGAGTTGGAGGGTTACGACGACCTCGACGCGCAACTCCATCAAGTAGGCCTTTGGCCGTTCGTCTCCCGGGCACGCAAGGAGATCAACCCGGCGCTGATCCGGGCCTTCTACTCCAACCTCCGGCGTGAGGATGACATGCTCTACTCGCTCGTCAAGAGCACGCCGATCGAGCTCACTGTGGAGCAGCTTGGGCGCATCGCCGGCCTCCCCTTCCAAGGCGACGATGTGTCTCACTATGGTGGAGAGGATTGGGTGCTCAACAACGAGGGCCTTATCCTCAACGAGCTTGGCATCACCGAGCTCAAACGCCATGCCTCGGGCCGTCCAACCATCCACTCCGCCAACCCCGAAGGCCGCCTCGTCCTCTACATTGTCTCCCGGATCATCAAACCGAGGAAGCACGGCCACACCATCATGCACGGGGAAGACCTCAAGCTCATCCATGCGATCATGCATTCGGCCCCAATCAATTGGGCAAAGTTTGTCATGATCAACATGACGATCGCCGCGTCCACCGACCATGATCACCTCCTCCCGTACCCGTTTTTGGTGATGGACATCCTTGAACGGTTCAAGGTAACCACCACCGTTGGCCCGCTCACGAAGGCCACGAAGATTTGGACAATTAGTAACCAAACCTTCCTCAAGCGGTCGGACAACACCGTGGCTGCCACTGCCGAGCCACGCCGCACTGCCCCTGCCGCTGGCCCAGCCGGACCCCAGGCCCGAGCCAACCTTGCCTCCATCGCCGACTCCCTCAACCGGCTCCACCTCAAGGTTGACGGGATGGGGAGCTATCTTGAACGGCTCGACGTGGCTGTTCAACGCCAAGGATACGCCATGAACGCGTACTTCCAAGGCATCAACTACGTCCCGCCACCACTCCACGGCACCTTTCTCGACGAGGTCTACGGTGATGAAGACGAAGAGGATGAGTCCTTCGCCCAGTCAAGCTCCCCGGACGAGGATAACCTTGACGATGCCGTTGATGGTGATGAGATGGGCGTCGACGACGACGAGGAGGCAACCGAAGATGAAGACTAGGATACCCCTAGAATTTCTATCTCTTTTACCTTAATTATCGTTTTTTAATGCTTCCGTTGTACTCCACCATTCCCCTTTATTAAATAAAATCATTTCGTTTTATCTTTTTGTTAATGTCAAAAGGGGGAAGAAAAGGGCTATGCATATACTAAGGGGGAACGTCTCTCTAAACGAGACCGTTTGATTTTAACCCAAGTAAATCCTTTTAAGCACAAATTAAGGGGGAACTTTTTCACAACTTTTTGAAAAACAAACATCTCTTAGTATGCATATCCCCGTCTTGTTTGCCATTATCAAAAAGGGGGAAATTGTTGGAACACGGGTTTACGCCTTCGTCGTACTAAACTGTGTTCGTTTATGACAGGTTTTGATAATGCCAAACCGCCGTGACATAACAAGGCTAAAGAGAACAAAAACCAAGGCGAAGGAGCATGGCATGATGCTTTGAGAACCAAGAATCCAGAATCAAGAACGAAGAACTAGAATTGTATTGAGTCGGTCTTCTTGTGATCAAGACCGGCACAAACTTTCAAAACTTGGCTCTCTAGGCTCATTTCATCAAAGCACTTTTTACAAATTCAAAAATACTTTTCTTAAAGTTTAAACTTGGGTCAAAACACTTGGAGTTCGCCCAAGCCAAAAACCAAGCCATTCGGCGTTCGGCTTTCAGAAACCAGCGTTCGGCTCTCGGTTTTTCGGCATCGGTTTTTGGCGTCCGAACCAACCAAGTGGTTTTTAACTTTTTATAACTGGTTTTTACTTCTGGGCATATTTAAATGGTTCTCCAACAAAAACGCCTCAAAAACCACCTTCCGTTTTTGGTCGTTCAGTGAAAACCATGCAAAACGGCACGAACTTGGCTAGCCATGGTTTTCAACTAAATGACGTGGTTTTAAAGGTGTTTTACTTGATTTCTTAGCAAAATGCAATAAACAAATGTTTTCTAAACTTGGTTTTTATTTTGGAGAACTTGCGTTTTTGACATCGGCTAACGGCGTGACTAAACCAACCATGGGTCTGGCTAAACCAAGACCAACAGCGATGTTGAGGTAACCAACAGCGCTGTCTGGCCTGGGTAACCAAAAACATGGTTTGGCGTTAAGTCTTCCAACAGCGATGTTGGACATCAGACATCGCTGTTGAGCCAAGGTTGGCTTCCTAGAAACTTCTAGAACAGCGATGCAGGCTCCCCTACAGCGCTGTCCAACCTAAGCCAAAAATATAGTGCATTGGCAGAAAGTTTTTGGACAGCGATGTTGACCCAGCAACAGCGCTGTCAGGCCAAAATTCCACCTCCAAAGGCAGACCTAAAACAGCGATGTTCTAGTATAGGACATCGATGTAGAGACCTAACCGTTGGAAGGAATTTAAGGCTAAAACTTTCCTTGTTTGGAAGTCAACAGCCAAAACAGCGATGTAGGGNAAAAGAGAGTATTGTTCTTGAGTGTTTTTAGTGTTCTTAGACACTTGACAAGAGAAGGTATTTCTCTTGTTGTTCGAAGGAAGGGTTGTTTCCTTCGAAGGTTCGTTGAGGTTCGTGTGACTCGAATTCTCAAGTTGTACGGGTTTGTTAAGCACCGTTAAGCTTAACGAGATAGTAGTGTAGCTCGAGAGAGTCTCTCGGGAGGCTGGATTAGCCACAAGTTGTGGTGAACCAGGGTAAAATCGGTGTGCCTCTTTCTTTTCTCTTTACTTCTCGCTTATTCATTTTTATTCCTGCGATTTATTGATCAAACGCTATTCACCCCCCCTCTAGCGTTGGTCTATTATTCTAACAATTGGTATCGGAGCCTAACTCGCGTCAAAACTTAACCGTTTGAGAGTAAAGCGATCATGGGCTCTTCTTCTAGAAATCTCTATGCAGGAATTGGAGAAGGTCAATCTACCTCTAGGCCACCACTCTTTGATGGCACCAACTACTCTTATTGGAAGGAACGGATGAGAATCTATATTCGTTCCACAAACTTCCAATTGTGGTTGGTGATCAAAAATGGCAAAGAAATCCCTATGAAGAAAGTAGGAGAAACCACAAGCCCAAAGACCGAAGACGAATTTGATGCCGAGGACATCAAGAAGGTCGAAAACTATGCAAAGGCCATCAACATGCTATATTGCGCAGTCAACCCCGATGACTACCGAAAGATCTCCTGTTGCACAACCGCCAAGGAGATGTGGGATAAGCTTGAAGTGACGTACGAAGGTACCGATCAAGTGCGTGAAGCCAAGATCGATTTTCTCACCCAAGAGTACGAAATGTTCCGAATGAAAGAAGGTGAGAAAATCGATGACATGTTTGACCGGTTCTCAAAAATCATCAACGATATTCATGCTCTCAAAAAGACCTACACCAACAAGGATCTTGTGAGAAAAATCCTGCGGAGCCTCACACCCAAATGGAGGTCAAAAGCCGATGCAATCTACGAATCCATCAGAGTCTCCAACGTCACCATCGACGGGCTAAGAGGTAACCTTAAAACCTATGAATCTACTATTCTAACCCCGTCTTTGGATGAACAAAAGAAAAAGGGAATAGCGCTGAAAGCCACCAAAGAACCGGTGGAAGAGGCTTCAAGCGATGACGACAATGAATTCGGGCTCGTCATCAAGAAGTTTCACAAGTTCATGAAGAAGGAATTTGAGCGGAAGGGAAGGAAACACGACGGTCCTCCCAAATGCTACGGCTGTGGCGAGGTTGGGCACATCAAGCCAAGGTGTCCAAAGGCCAAACACGGCAAGGACAAGCCTGGCTTCAAGAAGCAAAGGGCCTACATCTCTTGGGGTGGCGATTCTATATAAGGGTAGCATGATTGTGATAAGGGTATCTCACATTCTCACGTTATGGAAGGAACTTTTCGAAGACTTCCTTATACCATAAGATTCGTTGGTCTACTTGGCAGTCATTCTCTTGGTAGAAATCCAAAGTTTATCGTTACTGCGGTAGAGTTAGGAAGGGAATTGATAAGGCGAAAGATTAAACTTGCCTATGGAGGAGGTAGTGTTGGCCTTCAAGGAGCTGTTGCTTCAACAGTCTTTACCAATGGTGGTCTCGTTGGAGGTTTCATTCCTCGTTACATAGCAACACGAGGTGTCTACGGACCTACGTACGGTGTAGAGCATACAGTTTCCAGCAACTATTACAAGTATTTCGAGATGAACCACGCCGTGGAAGCTTTCATCATTCTTCCCGGAGGAGTTAACACTATGGAAGGTTTGTTCACCTTGATCTCGTGGGCTTCTGAAGGGTTACACAATAGACCCATTGGTCTTTTGAACATTGACGGTTATTTCAATATCTTAATCAAGTTTTTAGATAATGCGGTGAGGCAGAACTTCATGGCTTCCAGTCAAAGAAAACTTTTCATTTCTTCTTTCTTTGTTGGTGAGCTTTTAGACAAGCTAGAGTTCGCTAAAGCTTTTCCGGCTTTTGGGGCTAATTATGACGAGTTCGCAAATCCCGGGGGATTAGACTTAGAATTGCATCTGTAACTTTCCTCATGTAATCCAAGTTGTATTTTGTGTTGAAATAATATTATCCATAAATATTATTTAACGTTGTATGGCCAGCGCGAACTACATTTTCTTCATTCTTCAGTCTTTCATTGTTGGTGTCACTGTTTAATGTTATATCGTCACCACAGTCGCGATCTTTCACATCAAAATGATATCCGAACGAGTCAATTATCTTATTGATTTGTCTTGTCAACATCACTTTACTTCATTTATTCAATCAGACTACATTGACGTTTCCGATGATAAGTAATTAGGTCATTAATCGCTTCATAACAAAGCATCAGTTCATTCAACAAGGTTGAATTGTCTATAGCTTTTAACAAGAAGGTTCTTTGTATCTGACCGAACAGGTTGTTAGTTCGTAGTAAAGGATAACAATTCTCGATCGTCAGTTTGTTCGAATTTCCTATCAAGGATTTGTGAGTACCTTGACCGTAAGTCAATCTTAGAGAATACAATGAATTCTCTTAGCTGATCAAATAAGTCATGATACGAGGTAAAGGATAACGAATTATTTAATCGATAGTAGTTGATATAGAGTTTCATTAATTCGCGTATGAACAGAACAGGAATTCTCCCAAGGAGGAAACACTTGGTCAGATGATTCTTTGTCAGGAAATCATTGAGGAGAACACGTTCAATATAGAGTTACGAATATTGGTCCTTTCCCGGATCAAGATTGGCAGGGAATTCAATTTCTCGGAACGGTGAAGTATTAGGAAGTTCATATCAGAGAGGTGACATACTCTCGGTACGTTACTTCAGTTCAGGTGTTTCTTTTCGCGTAGACTTCACACGAAAAGACTTTACGCCTGGTTGAGAGGTTTGCACACATAAATTCGAGATGAACTCGGTCAGTTTAGAAATCAGCTTTGCTTTCACCTATATAAGGTTTTCATCAATGGTCTTCGGTTGAGAAATTCTTCATCATAAGTTGACAACAGCAACGACGTTCAGACAGTTAATGCATACTAAGGACAATGTCGATTTTCCTTGTATGGTACCTCAACGATGTTTTACAAAGAATTGTCACTTAACGAACGATTTCAATTCACATTAATTAATCGCATAATGTGTCCTAATGAGTCAAACAATAGTATTGGATACTTCATATAACAGAGTTTATTGATTCTAAACGTTCGTGTTTGAACCAGCGATTAGATCGTCTTGAGTCTACATGAGGATCTTTGACATCAGCTTCACAGGTGTTTCTCAACATTTATTGTTTCTTCGGAGTCATCTCACTTTTATACAACTTCGCGTTGCAGATCAGTTTCGTCCTTCGCGATGCGATGCAAATGTTAATAACGGATCAGAGGGTTGTATATTTTTCGTTCATTATTTCGTCTCTTCACTGAGTACGAAAGTTCTACTAGAACCTATGCTCGATATGATTTCAGTGCTGATCAATTTTTATTTAATGAGAATTCTAACTGAGTAAATATTTACCGAGTAATTTCTCATACCTTTCCTGGAGCAGAGGGACGCGAGAGTCGTGGATGTGATAGACTCAAATTTTTTTTTTAATTCAAATTTTGATCCGAAGATCGGTTTTAAAACCATTTGCTCTGATACCAAATTGTAACACCCTAATCCGTCCAGGTCTGCAGCCCCTTTCGGACTAAAGTATTAACTTGGTAATCGTAAAATTTAAAACTTTTCAAACACTTTTATTTATCATAATAATATTTTTCATATCATAAACAGTACAGAGTTTTCAATATTGCGGAAGCTTAACAAATCATAACCACAAACATAATTTATTTATATTCTTTAATTCAGAACCATCACATCCATTCCGACTATCTCGCCTCCGTCTGCCTCCAGGATCACGTCACATCATTCTATTGACCTGCGTGTAGCAAATAAAACACACTACACGCTCAGCGGTAAAGCTGAGTAAGCATATCTAATGCGTCGAACATCCACATAAATTGAATCTCAATTCATAATCGACCATTTGATATCATGCACATAATGTTCAGTTCA